TCAGTCGGCCAGTGGCCGAGTGATCTGCACGCCTGCTTTGCAACCATATGATCACCGATTTAAATCCGGCTTTCTCGCGGTATACTCAACCCAGGCACGACTGTTTGTGGTCGCGCGACAGCGAAGTGCCGTTGCGGCCTAAAGCGACGATTAGCATATCTTACTTACCTAAAAAGTTTGGACCAGTAAGCTTACCGCCTCTTCTAGTCAAGTTAGTAATGAAACTAGTCAACTGCCGTTGAAACCCACTTGATGACGGTTGGTTTACTCATCCCTGTCTGAGTATCTTGTGTGCTCGAAAATGCTAAGCCATAGTGGTAGAGTAGTGTCATGCGGTTGACGTATTGTTCATCTACTTTGCAAAAGCCTTCGATACCATCCCAGATTCCTGTCTTCCATCTAAAAGATAGCCATATGGCATCTCCGGGCATACGTTGGATAATCTCTTTCTTTGACGACAGGGGAATGTGCGTTAAAGTGGGCTCGAGTCTGTCTTTCTGCGACTGTTGCCAGCGCTGTACCACATGGGTCTGTCCTGGGTCCATTGTTATGCCCCTTGTATATAAACTTCTTAATTGAGAAACTAGGTGTATTAGCACTAATGTTTGCAGACTACCTTAAGCTTTTGGTACGATCAGCAGACCAGAGAACTCCCGGGTCCTACATCGTGCACGTAACGGACACTAGGACGGTTCCGTTCCGTGGTAACTGCCAGTAACTCCGTCTAATTGCTCGACTTCAAACATTAACACACGTAGCCTACCCATGAACTAGTTTCTAGCGAGGACCAAGTGCCTCAAGTGGCCAAGCAGGTGGTAATAGGGTTCACACAGTCATTTTATTTCAACTATAATGAACAATCGACAAAAGCTGTAGAAGCGCTTACGGCATCTGCTGGTGCAAAGTCCCGGTTGCTTTCTAATTATTCTTCCATTGTTTTTCGTTTTGTTAACATTTTTGCTCTTTGTTGCTTTTGCGTCGGTAAAAGTAGGCTTTGTTTTCTCGTAGTTTTTGCTGTTCCGTATTACCGTACTTGCCACGTTTAAGCGTAATAAGGGATTACTTGGTGACCAAACGTATATCATCAGAATGATGGGTAAACCTTTGCAAAATTGACTTGCGGAGTCATCCTTCATTAGACCTTTTGTTTGTCTTTATGAATTCCTCTAATATATTTCTTTATGCGAAATGATATTGCAAAATGCTGAAAATTTACCTACTGTAGAAAAAGAGCTAGTTTAACTTGAATTGAATGTTAACACAGGTGAACTGCCAACCGTCGGCGGCTAATGCTTCGGTGAATTCGTTCGAAGTCAATTGACGATATTGCGACTTCAATTGGAACATTGTGTGCAGACCTTTCCGTCGTATCACCAGAAGGATGTTGCCGCCATAGAGAAGTTCAAAAGTTGGTGAGCGGGATGATCGAAAGTCAACGAGAATGGTCATATTATGCAAGCATAATGAGCCTAGTATTGTTTTCCTTGGAATAGCGCAGAGTTAGAAGGCACCGGATAAGAATTTCAAGCTATCAGATCTGTTCCTAGGCTGCATCTTACCACCTGCGGGTGCGTTAAATTAAGCTTAAGAGTCAAGGGTCCTGGCTGGATATTAGCTTTAAATTCTGTGCGAATTGTACAACTGATAGTTGAGATAACCTCAATTCTGCCTTAATGGGAAGTATTACTGTGGGATCCTTCAAAATGTTCAAGATAATTGCTAGCCGGACATTTGCCGAAATCATTGTAATTATATTGAAAATCATTGAAGAGACTTTGTGATTCATGATGCAAGCAAGTACGGAGGTTGCTCTTGTTCTTACTTTTATTTCAGAAGTCAGGAGAGCAACCCGAATGTCCGCAAGCTAGTAGTCACTGGTTTGTTTGCCGGTATCATAAACAAGATGCTAGTTAGACCAGAGCTTATTTCGTCCTTGGAACTTGACGTGATCTCACCTGATCTGAACTAGACAGGAAGCGCACTCGTGCGAAACTGACCATAGATATCATCAACGTGGTGAATTTTTAGAAGCAAGCAATTTTGCTCCTGTATGTTCGTAAATGTCGGCTGCTGTCCACTAGTGGTTACGGTGTTTCGGGTCAGACGCCTTCGTGTCTCTCTCCTTGCAGAGTACCAAGCAGGAAGGTGATTTAGGCATTATCATAGTGAACAATTTCAAACTTCGGCGCATTGTTGCCTCAACGCCCAAAATGCACCTCAAGAGTAATCTTGACTTAAGGTGGCATTGTGTGGCGTCAAGCCGAAGTTTTCCCCTTATTTTATAGAGCAGCTGTGAAGCTACGTTTAATATGTTAGGTTTGGGCTTAGACCTGGTATCTTCGTAGCCACATTAGTTTTATATAATGGATCCAAAAACTGGTAGCTGGAAACTGATAAAGGTACACATACGAATTGGTTTCCTTAGAAGCGCGTCGTTTGTGGAGTAATATGATAGACGTTGCAAAATAACAATAACAATAATATGTTTCTCGGAGAGGTGGAACAAGTTCCCGTTGTACCTGATTAGATCAACAGATACATGCTCCATGCAGTATATTCAGTGTAAATTGCTTTCTCATCGATTGCAAGGATTTTGGTTAAAGTTGTTGTTAGTTATCGGGCGGACATTTCCTCCGAAAATGCGTCTTTTTTGGTGCCCTACCATTCAGTATAGCGCCGGACGACTTGCGGTCAAAATGGTCGTAAAGCAAAGGTATATCATAAGTACGTATGAATAATAACTCAAGCACTTTATAGGGAATTGCGAAACATCGTGAACTTGAAAATAGAATTGACTCGTGCAGGATATGATAATTAGTTATGATGTTCGTGTGCGCAAACGGCAGAATGTGTCTACTTTGCGGGAACTTCGACATACATTCCTGAAAGCTGGCCGAAGTGAAATACGTTAACAGATACGATTTAAATATATGGTACAATTGGCGTTTGTAGTTGGTAGCAAGCCACAGATTATCCAACACGAGCTTTTTATATGGTAATAAACATAATGGAAAATAGTGGCTTGCTAGGACGACAGCGCTTCGAAATTGCGCTAGGCAGGCACTCGGACTAGAATAATGTCAACGAAATGTTTAAGACTTGCTAAACCGTCCTTGAGTGAAGTTTTGTTAGTGCTATCACTGCGTTGGTTGTTTCACTAGCGAATGATAAAATCAAGCGAAAGCAAGATGTATTATTGAGGATAAAGTGGACTGAAGTCGTGTAATGAGGCCCTGTGTGTTTAACATACCAAGGAGTCAGTGGTTCTGCAAACGAATGGCAGGTGTGCAGGCAGGTCAAAAACTTAAAGTCATGAGTGTAGGGATGTTTAGCTGGGTTAAGAAATCCAATGAACCAACTTTCCGGTGGCTCAACTAACACATGGTAGCAATGGGGCCAAATAAAATTAAGCGAATCATTGCAGGCTAGTATAAGAGGAAGAGTATAATGTAAATGCTGGATATCGGACCTACTGATGTGCCATTGTGGTTTATAATGAACGCTGAACTTTCGGACCAGGTAAAGCCAGCGTGGAGCCTGCCAATTACTTTAGGATAAAGCCTTCAGATCACCTGCACGAATAACCTTTGAAGTCCAAATAACAAAGATCCAGATTGGAGAAAAGGGTGAAATGCTTACAAAATGTGTTGCAAGTAGCTAGGAAAAACTACCTTTTGATCTAACAGACCACGACACCGTAATCTCCTGCAAAATGACTTAGACAAATGTCGGCCGGAAGCCGATTGGCCTGCATGTCTGGCTTGCAATCATTAGGTCACTGCTTCGAATCCGCGTAGTGGTGTGCGTCCTGCGGTATGCCCAGCCCACGCGCGACTGTTGGTGATCGTGCGGCATCGAAGTGCTGTTACGGCGTAGAGCTGACACATTATCATATCCAAAACAAATGTAGTTGTACTGGAATCTGTAGCATCAAGGCATCATGCATCAAAAACTGGTGTCGCTCCGTTAAAGTTCAACGACTACTCTCGTATTTGCTTCATTGCTATTTCAGTAGCAAGGGAAGTCGACCAAACGTCGAAGTGCTGGGGGGCTCTGGTTCGCTTGCCTGTACAAGAGTCAAGACATTCGTCAGGCAAAAGTCTGTATCATTTTTGGAATTTGATCAAACTATCTTTACCTGTGGGCACAGATTGACCGCCAGTCATCTCGTTTGTGCTTTTTTGGCCAACTAATAATATGAAGAAAAATGTAAAGATACAGCCTACTATGCCTGAATATAACATTAAGTAGTTTAGCCTCTCTTCACACCACCAGCCGTAACTTATGGCAAGAAGAAAAAGAAAGGCATCAGCAGTAAGCCGGTACAGAGTATATACGCTTCGCTGCCGCGCAACCACCATCGGTCTCAGGTGGGCTAAGGAAACTGCAAGGGTCGCCTTGCTCCTAAGCAGACTCGAATCCGCGACATCAGCTTACAATACAAGCTCTAGACTACGGGTTGCCCTTAACTTATGGACGGTTTTTAATTTAAAATGTATTCAATCAGCGTGTGTGATCAATTTATGCGCCTCTGTCCTTACGATTGACACATTTCGTTAATATATATAACACACGCAATTGTTACCGTAATAGACATCCAAGATGCGTTACTATCATCTTGAAATCCTTTATTGCTGAGCGCGAGCATGGTTTGCGACCAGGAAATTGCATTCATGAATTAGTTATAGCTGCTTTGGAAACGGCTTTTTTATTGACCGATTATTAGCTCACTTGGGCAGCCGGGGCAGGAAATTCGGACACTCTAAGCTCTCCAACTTCCGCTTCAGCGTACAGTAGTCAGTCAATCGCCATGGGCTGGTATGTGCAAGCCAAATTTATGTCTAAACCTAAAAATTAAGTCAGAAATATTACCAATACATCCTCGCAGTCCCTGTATTCCAAAGATTTTACTGCGGAGCTTTCCACCTTAACCACGTAATGTTTTATGTGAAATTTGTCCGCTGGCTGCGCACTAAAGTATCTAAATCCTATATTTTACAGATCCATATGTCGACATTGGTTGTATTATTACTTCTGTACTTCGCTCATACTTTGGGAATTCCTGATGGTAACTGTTGATGCGTCCAATTTAGTTACACGTTGTGCAGAACCATCCTGTTCCTGTCCGTTTCTTATTGCTGGCAAAGAAGATTGTTGTTGCGACAAAACATCTGCTGGATACAACGAGAAAACGTTTAAGTTTTGTCTGAACCAAGGTAAGCAACGCTTATGTTCTTATCGTTCGCTTTAGCTAAAAGACAGTTAAACGCCGTTTGCATAAATCCAGCTCTCTATTTTGGTGTCAACGTAAACTTCGAGACCTTCTATGATGAGAACGGACATAAGTGCTATACCGCTTTTTCTTGTATGTTATTACTTTTTACCTAATGATTTTAGATAGTGCATTAAACTTTGTTAATGCGCCAGTTTTGGCTGTGAGTTTGCGGGATACCTCTGAGTTAAAGTCTGCGTATCAAAGCAGCTATCAGACAACGGGTTTTACAAATGTGCTCACAGATGCCATTTTGGTATATCTTAATCAAGTTTTTCTTATGATCTTAGAGTAAGGAGAGAATCGCTATTCAATTTGACAATGGAATACAAGGAGTGTTTTCTCTTCCTGGAGCCAGCAGTGATGGAGGATGCAACGTGGCATATTTTCCAAGTAAACTACTTTCGATGCCGTAATTCTTTAGAACGGCCGCTTACGTGTAGTGTCTGTTGACGCGTACTCAGTTAATTAAAATATGTGAATTTCCATAATTTATGTTACATTTTCGTTACAGCATGTTAAGCTTCTTCAGATATCCTCAAAACGAACTAATTGCTGTTGTTGATAGAATGCAGTTAAGGTAACCAAATAGATTGTGCTAGTATGTGGCGTTACTTTTTAAGCAAGCGATGCACTCTATATCTTAGCCATCTTTCGCTACAGCTTCCTGATTCAGTACTCTTAAGTACACTGCTTGAAACTCTCGAATGAACTTTGATAAAGTTTGGATGGCAAATCTTTTTTCTGTTAACTCGTTCTGTACCAGTGTCTGCAGTTGTTTCCCCACTTTTTAGTGATGTAGCGTCTCAAGAATAGCGAATTGTTGACATTAAAGGCAATGACATTAAGATGTTATTTAACAATGCTAAAGATGATTGATTCAAACTGTGCGTATCTTTCAGGAGATTATTTCTATATTACGGCTGAGTACAAACTATCAAGAGATCACTCAATGTTAATGGAAGTGTAGTGGTCGAAAGAATACTAGGAAGGTTTCAGTCTCTTAGTAAACGCAAAACTTGGAAAAAGTTGACTCACACTCTAATCACTGCGGAGTTCGAATCGTAGATTGCGCTATGTCTGTGGCACACGTCGAGCACGATAGACACATACGTTCGATAGTAAATTCGCGTCTAATATCCGATTCGCAAGCAGTCTAAACGGCACGGTACACACGCAGAAGCAGCACAGCCAAAATGCAGCACGACGGAGCGCGGGCCACGAAAAAGTCTATCGTACTCGTTGATTCACACAAACTGCACAAAAGATGTGATAATAAAATTGATGACAAGAAAGACAAAATGCGAAAGCTTATTAACCACTTCATAACTCCCCCGTAGAGCGTGAACTGGTAAGGTAACGTTTCGATATAGCTCTTTGGGAAGAAACTAAGCTAGTTTGGAGGGGAAGGACACAGAACGCCCTGAACGTATGTGCTTTGGATCAATCGTTGAGCGAGCGCATGAAGGTTCTGGAGCAGTGGTATTAATCGGTTGAACAAGTGGTGGTAACAACTTGGGATCCATCAAAGTAACGATTGGCTAAACATGAAAGGGTTTATGGCGGTCAGTACTCAGATTCTTTCGACCCATTCCTTTCCAGGATGAAGTACTTAGGATTCCGTGACAACACTTTGAAAGGACCTTCATAAAGGGGTGTCAACGGCTTTCGAACTGCGTCAGTGCGAATGAAAACAAAAGGACAAGTGTGTAAGTCCGGATGAATTCGTTGTTCGCGGGCAGTGAAGCGGATAGACGTAGGTCGAATTGTTAGGAACTGTTGTTTGGACACAAGATCAATTTCACTAGTGACTCGGGAATCCAAAATCATCTCACCTGGAAGTCTGAGAGTGGTGACAAAGACTAGTTCTACAGGGCTGCATCCAATATCCTCTTTGACGGTATTACGAATACCAAGAAGGACAGCTGGGATGCGTTCAGACCAATGTGGGTCAGGTGAGTTAGCTGTGATGGTGGCTTTAAGCTGTCGATGGAAACGCTCGACAAGGCCATTCGTAGCGGGATGATAAGCAGTTGTCCGAATGTGGGTAAAACCCAACAGACGATTCAAGTCACGGAACAAGGTGGAACTAAACTGAGATCCTCGATCTGTAGTGATCGTAGATGGCACACCGAAGAAGGAAATCCAGGATTCGAAAAATGCACGGGCAACAGATTCTGAATTTTTGTCATGTAAAGGAATGGCATGCGGCCAATGAGTAAGACGGTCAACATAAGTCAGAGTGAAAGTGAAATTGTTCGATGGAGGAAGCGGTCCGACTATGTCTAGGTGGACATGTCTAAAACACGCCTCAGGTAGTGAGAATGTTCCGGTGGCAGACATAGTGTGTCTGTGTAATTGCTGCTCTGGCAGCTGAGACAGTGTTTAGTCCATTGCCGGGGATCGGTGTGCATACTAGGCCAGATGTAACGATCAGTAGTCAACTTCAAATAGATTGAATGCTAGGATGCGATAGTCTATGAAAATGCTCAGACGGTTAGCCCGATAGACTGGGGAAGAAACGGTCTTGTTTTACCGATAGTGACAACGCAATGAATCCTTGCATCTGAGTTTAACATAGGTTATTGCAAGAATTTCAACGTAGTATTCGATCGAAGCTAAGCGAGTTCAGAATCCTTCTGGGCAACAGACATTCCCTCAAGATCTATTGGAGAGGATGAAGGTTGATGTATGTGAGCATGTGAAAGTGCATCAGCGACAACCTTATTTGGACCGTCGAGATGGCGATTATCGACACAGAATTGTGAAAGGGAATCCAGGTGTCATGTCTCTCTCGGAGAATAGCGATCGGAAGAGGCACGAAAAGCGTAGACCAAAGGCTTGTAGTCCGACAGGATTACAAAACCTGTTCCTTCAAGGACGTGACGAAAGTGTTTGACTGCCAAGTAGATTGCGAGAAGTTCGTGACCGAAAGTGCTATATCTGGTTTGTGCTGGCGGTAGCTAATGAGAAAAGCAAGACAGCGGCTGAATCTCATTGCGGATTAGTTGTTGTAGTATAGCACCGACAGTGGATTGTGAGGCATCAGACTTGAGAACGAAGTTAGGCTTCTCGTCGAGGATTCCGAACACGACGACGTAGTAAGCTACATTTCTGTATAAGCCGGAGCAGGTCATATTTAACAACGTCAAGCATATTGATTGGCCAAGTTTGTTTCATCCGCTTAAATAGTTCACTTTCCATCAGATCAGTAGGGTTGAAACAAGCGTTTCGAACTACCCAACTGCGTTTCGTGTACCACAGATCAATTCAAGGTCTCCGGAACGTAGAGGTTAATTAGCATGTTGTGCGTTTCCCGTGGGCACTTCCTCTCCTGAGATGGAGCGATGTCGTAAGACGAGGCCCTATAGCTGATCTATAATTTTAAAGGTCCAATACTGCGTCTGTTAGTCCGTCTCCTTCGTTGGGGTGGTTTAGACATAGTCTCATAGTTCTAGACTTCAACTATATCACCTGGTCGATTGCAGCCGTCCGAAGAACACCTCAGCACATAAAAACATTTCACCCGCAGGCCGCATGGTAGTTCAGATATTTTCGTCCTCTCAGCCTGACTGTTTTGGCTTCATGTGGTCGGCACGACGCATTAAGGTGCTTAATGCTGCAGACAAGTCATTGTACGACATTTCCACATTGGCAGTAAATCTTGCTTAGCGCCCACGATGGATAATCACTCCATTAGCTTAGATTCTCTGGGCTTAAATAAGAGCAGCCTTGCTTCGCGGTGCTGGTGTAATGTTCGTCCTGCTTTTGGATTTCTTTCACAGTCTGAGTTTCCTAAGATTGGTGTTGTCTCATGCAAAAGCATATGGATCCGTCTATTCATCAAAGCTTTCGCTGGAAAGAATCTGTTTGGTTCTTGCGGATTAGGTGCAGACCAGAACAAAAAGGATTACGTCAGATAGCCCCTCTATAAAATGCGTGGCATTTGCAACATTTTCGTCATATCTGGTAGCTGAAGTGGATTTTTATGCTTTTAATGTCACATATAGAAGGCCAGAGTGAAAGTGTTTCTAATACACGAGGTAGGTTTTGGCACACACCCCCCGTATAGTACAAAATATAATGTCGTCCATGGATAGGCCGACAGTATAACTTTGCAATATCCAATTTGCAAAGCAGGGAAAGAAGATGAAGGCTAATATAGGATTTTCAAATTGTTGAAGAGAACTAACTGCTTTAAATATCATCTTTGTCTAAAATCCTAAGCTAGTACTGATGCCCTAAAAATCAGCAAAGGAAACAAAATTGTTTCTCCATGATTTTGACCTCACCAATAGCTGCTCTCATTTAAATGTGTTCAAGCGAAACCTGCTCTACTATTGGTCATTTGTGGTGACCATAATGTCTAAGAGGTTTTGATTCACTAAGCAAAATAGCGCTACCGTGACGTCACATAATCCAGCTGGGAGGGATTTGCTTTCATTTCGTGCGATCTTCCAAAGCTGTGAAAATGAAAAGTTGCAACAGAAACGATGCGCATATGTTCCTGGCTTTAAATTGATAGTTATCGCGTTGCCGAGCAACCTTATCATTTCATGGCTGCAGGTCATTTCACCGTGAATGAATAGAAAATGAGCGAATGGTGAACGAAAAAATTTGGTTTGGCTCTAATGTCTGTAGGCAAAGTCGGCCGGTGGCCGAGTGGTATGCACGTCCGGTTCGCAACTACAAGGTCATCGGTTCGAATCCACTTAGGGGCGGGCGTCCTTGCGGTATACTCAGCCCGCGCGTGACTGGTGGTGGTCGCGTGGCACCGAAGCGACGTTACGGCGTACAGCTGGCGATTCACTTTATTTATTATTACTGTAGGCAAAAAAGCAACACGGTAGAAAAGCGACGTTTTCTGCATTAGAGGAAAAGTTAACACAGTAGTTTATGAAGTCACATCACAGTGGGTGGTGCTAAGGGGGAATAGAAGCAGCGGTGTGCAGTGAATTCCTAGGTGAATTTTACACGTGACATTTTTCAATTTGTGTGGAACCTTTTTATAAGCCCACCCCCTTCTACAGTAATAAAATCTTGTCCAAAAATGCTCGGCTTAAAATCCGTAATATACGGAAGGTTTCTAAAAAGATTCGGTTATAGTTTTCTACTGCGCATCGCTCACGTTAGTTCGCACCAACCCTTCGCTCGTATATCCAGCCTAGACCACTGCTTCATGAGCTGCAGATGGCGTCCCCGCAGGTGGTCAGACGTAGCTAGTTCAAAGAGATCGGTAGGCTTAATGCCACTGAGACCCCTCATACTCTTAAACGTTTCTATCAGGTCTATCCTTAGCCTGCTACATTCCAATGAGAACAAACCTAAACAAGCCAGTCGGACAACATATGCTTTTTCCCGCTGACCTTCAATCATTCTGGCAGCCAGTCTCTATGTCTTTTCTAAACAAGCAATATTCTTTCAAATATAAGGTTCCCCAGGCCTAAACACAGTACGGCTAAACCATCGTTTTGTATCAAGGGAGAAAGACAGGGTTAGTATTACACAACGCTCACTTAAGACGATAAGCTCCTGCCGCGCTCTATTAGCAGCATGTTAGCACTACTTCGAAGGCCTGAAGCTACCTATAATGACGATGTTCTGTGTCGGTTGCCACTTAATCATCTCCGAGTTAATAATACCTTAAACAACCCACAGCCTTGTCACGAAACATCTCACTCAGGGGTAAAGTGGACAATGGAATATCATGGTGCATGACACATTTTTGTCCAAATCAACTTAATTTACTAGAATGGCCCAATGTTCGTGGGGTTATCCGGATATTGATCGTACACAACAATACTTGGGTACCATGGGACATGTCAACTGTATACAACTAGCGGAATAGAAGAAATCTTTACAACAAAATAAGGAGAAGCGGTTCATCTATATTTATGGAAACGCGATTAATCTGCGTGAGTATTTAGCTACTTATGAACATTTCCCTAATTCCAGAATTTATGCACAATACCACACACTCCTGCCGTCGCTTCCTCACTGTGACTGATGGTGGGAAAAGCTGTTCCCATATACCCGGGCTACAAAGGTATTCGAGTGGTTTCAAATTCCGTCAGCGTACTGAACCAATGATAGAGCCGAAGAAATTCAGCCTCTTTATACCAATCTCTCCCGTCACATGTGTGGATGAATTTGGCACGAGTGTCTCATGCCCGAAGGGGAACACCACTTACGACAAGAAGCACCAAGTTTGTGGGAACGTAATTGTTAGGGTAAGGAGCGGCTTCCTGCGATGAAATACACATAATTTGCAAACAAAATGTAACCGATTCTCCTACTGGCTCGTCTTTTTCATGTACTAAACTTGGTGGTTCATGGATATCATTCAGTGGATGTGAAACTTGAACGATTAAAACGAGGTTCATTTCTCTAGCGTTTGATCTGTAAAGGTATTAAAATGATTCTTATCGTGTAACTGCCGATTCATTGCATTCCTTTCCCCATGTTTGCAGACACATACATCCGCATTTTAATAGACGGTTTCCGGGCGTTTATTCATCATAATCAACAGCAATACACCAACCGTTTGAACTGATGCTTCGCTGCAATACAACCTTGAGGACCTATGAATGAAGAATAATAAAAGGGATAGAAGGGAGACTTACCGGGAAACCTTAATGCCATAAGCAAACAGCCCTGTCAAGACGCCTACACCTTGTCAACAACATACCGTCATAAACAGTTGGCTATCGTTCAAAGCTAAAGTAGCATCGACGAGAGAGATTCCTTGCAACTTGCACTGCCACCCGTCATAATCAGCCATTACCCCGCAGATAACTCAGCACCGAACACACTTTAAACAAGCAGTCCGACTAGGAGACGGCAGTAAACGTGCCGCTTGTGTCGATTACGGACCACGTCCTGTAAAGTCTCGATCTAAGCACAAGGTGAGTCACGTGGACCCTAGTCTGGAAAGCGAGACGCATAGATGGCACCGAGTTAGGTCGTCAGTGACTTCATTTCCCACTTCCCAGTCAACTTTTGTCTACCTCGAGCCTTGCGCCACCCTACGTCTGACAGGTTAAACCAGGCGCTACTAAGTAAGTGGGTTTTTATTATTAAGAGCTTACTGTTGTGCATGAACTTGTTAATTTAAACACTGTGAACACTGGCGTGAACACACTGTGCTACGTAGACTTATCCGCAAACACACAGCCCTTTCTCTACCTGCTTGTACTTTCAATACATGTGAGTATGATGCCCGTATCGTACGCCGCATTGATGTTCCGTTACAAATTACTCAGCTTTCAAGGAGGGTGGGCAAGTGCGCAAGGCAAACACCTCGGAGGCTTCTGTTTGCGGAGGACTGGGCTTTGCTTTCATACCGCAAGGATGCGCTGCAACGCATGCCGATGTTTGTCGCTTCGACACCGTTCCAATTCGGAAGTACCATCAACACAAGTAAAACTGCCCATTAATTTTCACCCTCACTAGGAGTGGAGTATTTATGTTAACCGCAAATTAAATATGACGACCAAGTACTGCAGACCTCACAAAATCCTCCGGCTCCGGAAGCATGCTGTCAGCGGTTGTTTAAATGAATTATGAATACTAAAGATATGAACTTAAAAGGCATACACCTGCGTTGCTTCATCACTGAAATATCGGGCACGAACAGGGAATAACTTCATTTATTACCGCTCACTGTCAACGCAGTTTGGTCATGCCAAGTCCTTTTCTAATGCATTGCACTCTCGAAATCTGTACTCCGCAAAGTGGGAGTCTAGGAATTTCCTAACTTCCTACACCGATTTGGCCTCGACTATTGGGTCGGGCAAATTGGTCCAATGTTTCACCACATAACGCCCGAAACATAGTAAGTGAACTATCCTCTTCAAGACCGGGACCACAAGCTTGTACCTATGCCTGCGAGTGCTGATTGTTGCGCACAAGCACAGTAGCCGCCTCAGTATAGGGAATTCACCAGATGCATCATTCAAAAGTCTATTCGAAACCGACGGTACGACATGCTGTACAGTCTCAGTCTCCTGCATCTACCTTGTACGATATACCCAGGAAACTGGGGATGAGCCTAGTAGCCACATGCTAAACACTTTCTAATTTTTGCACCTCGCCAACGATGGTCGGATAATAGGCGTGATCTGTCTCTCGTATGTTGTGAGAGGAGAGATGTGGCAACCTTTACAGACTACGTGCAGAAGCTACATTTGAACGCCCAAAGCACGCATAGCCTGTTTCCATGTGCTTTTTGTCCGTGTTGTCCGCGGACTTCAGATAGCAATGTGAGAGTACGCTTGGATCCTTTACGGAAGGTGTAGGATGTAGTGGTTGGTCGGCCCATCGCCCCCCTTTCTCAGACCCATAAACAGCGACTTGACTGAGCTGATCGGCATATCGATATCTACAGACCACATGGACAAAGTGTAACAGTCATGCTAACGTTGGTCGCATTCTTCGGGAGCCTCAGTTATTCTCCAACTCTTCAAGTCGTCCACAACTAATGCACTCGGTAACAGAGGAAGCGGTTATTTAGTTGATGTGTATAATGGACGAAATGGGTCCCAATACTTTGTCTTAGGGTACACCACTGGTGGAGATGGTTCCATTTGTCACCAAAATGTGGACGCTGCACAGGCATGGGAAGCGAGTTTACCAATAGTGCACGCGTCGAATTCTGTACATTTGCGGGATTGACAGAGTATCCGGCACTGATGTGCTCCACTGGAGTGGTATGTACGGAATAGATTGCATACTACTACTGCGACACCTGGTTTGCTGGAACATCAGCGCTGTATGGCTATGGTCAAGCTATCGAAACACCTGCCGCAGAGCCAGTTGATTGCAGGGATCCGAAATATAGGCAAGCCGAAGGCACGCTATGAGGACATTATCAATCAATCACGAACCAATGTGGACTGCGTGTTCGGCAGAAACAGCAGTTATTTGACTCATGTGGTATGTTCAAGTAAAGAATTCCATTGCATAAGTTCACTATAAGGGAATACTTCATCAGGAATAATGCTGGTTACGGAAGCTTAAGGACCACGGTCCGGCGACTTTAAACATCTGGTTTTGTGGCACGTGCGTTCGCATGTGCTTCAGCCAAACCGGTGAGTTGCGTCATTGACGTGGCCACGAAGGGCGACAGGTAAGTTAAATGGGTAATTGTCTGTGCGCAGTAGGTATCCTGCTTCCGATTCCACTCAATAACCCACGCTAATGATTTGGCAAAGGTGGTATGTGGGCTGAATCTTCGCTGCAATCGGTCTGTATACGTAGCTGTTGGCGATGTTACATGTTTGACAACGTCTACCGACTGATATCCTCATTCCGGTTACGCTTGATGTGTAGGTTGGCAAGGTTCTATACTTTCGAAAACCGCCACTTCGATTATGGTCTCCATGAAATTGTGAATTGTTGCTGAGGGAGACAGGGGGCAGAGTTCTAGTGACGGCAACAAGTTCGAAGTGTGGCTCCATCCAAAATATAACCAGTTATGACCCAGCCACCGCAGGGTGTGTTAAGGTTGTACACGTATGCAATTATTTAGATGTATGTGTTGCATGTTGAAGGAGTTTGCCATGCCTCCGAACCAATCATGGCTCCTGTCCAAATGCTTCTCAGTCTTATTCCTTCCAGTTTACATTGGATATGCGGGGGGTGGCTGAAAATGTAGTTGGTACGGCGCAATCAACTCATGATCCCACAGAAAGCACGAGCGTCCTGTGGCTGTTCTTAGCTGAAGTGATGAGAGAATTCGGAAACCAAGGTCACCAAATTTCGGTGCCCGACCACAAGATCTAAATACTGCATCCAGCACGAAATAAACACAACTGCAAAACAACATCCAGTATTCACTACATTATTAACCCTCCAAAACGAGTTGGGGTGTTTCATTTGTATATTGGATTACATCAAAACCAACTGTCCCAACATATAACACGTACACGTTTTATGCAGCAAAATGCGAAAACTTTCTGACACTATACAACTTTCCATTTGATTTTCCTCAGACACAAGCTAGTTTTTCCTTGTAATTTTCACCCTTTGGATTCATGAAACATTAGTTGTCCTGCATTTTCTTAATCTTTATTTGAATCCATAACTTCAATCAAAATATTGAAAGGACAGTTTCGAAACTTATTACAGGCTAAATACGATTACTATTGAGTAGTGGGGATTTGGATGTAATTTTTGATGTAGTTCGTCGCAGTCCCCTCTCGATGAGGCAAACTACCAAGTGACTGAAAAGCACAAGACAGCTGTCCCAACATTCTGAGCCTCCCCAATGATGCGAGCTCCTTGGAAGCCTTCCGGGTTTCGACCTCGTGGCTTTCGGATGCCAGCGGTTTATGCCACTAAGCCATGGGTAATAGCAGCGGACATGCAGGAAAGTTGACTACGACATAGCGCGGCGCATGCTACACTGCCCTGTTGTTACGAATCGTGTAGGTGAAAGTGTTTGGTCCCAAAACTACGAGTTTCCGCATAGCGACTTTGTACGCCACAGCAATCAAAAGCCTTACTGCTGGACCGAGGGACGCGCATCACTGACGAAGCTCAGCACTTAGAAACGGTCATCTGGTGCATTTTTAGAAGCATGGGAGTCCGTCTGACATAGGGGACCGTGACAAGTTACATCTAAAATACGACTGCTTCATATGTTATTTTGCTTATTTGAAGTGCATTTGACAAATATAGTAGTTAGTTTGAAAAATTGTCTATCATTAAGAGCATCCTGGGACTCATTTTTAATTGTTGCACATGAGAATAACACTTCTCTTTTGTTTGGACCCACCGATAGTTATCTAACAAGGTTTGGTATTTTGTAGCGAAAGTCGTTCCTGCGGTCTAACAGTAATGTTAGCAGGAGTTTCTCCATGCATTTTTGACTTAGCATGAATTCAGCGACGATGTGATGCAATCCATTGAATACCTCTGTTGCTTCATACGCCTCGCTTGACGCTCTATGTCCCTGATGAATGTGAAACAGCTCTTCCGCTTTTCTGCTCTCACTCAGGTTACCTACACGTTTGCTTTCAACGTGACCGGTTTGCAGAAGGTTATGGTGGAGGCTGTCGTCAAAGATAACCTAACTCACTCTTTTGACCAAACGTTTGTGATTCAGTTCACCGAGGTGAGTCAGTAGTTGCGGTGGACGCCCCGCCTTCCTTATTTGTGAATGTCGCCGCTTAGATACACGAAGCTTCTCAATCTGTGGTCGATGCAGTGGGATTGAATGTTCGCTCCCCATATTTTAGACAACGAAACTGGCGTTGGGGGTGCAACGATACTTGTATCCATTCCATTGTTCCCCATGCTTGTTGATGGCCCAATACTTTCCATGTACTATATATATAGCGATAAAATAAACATATTGTATATTATACGATATCATAAGAACCTGATCCTATGAAGAGCCAGCTCAGCCAGCGACGGTGCATATTCTCATTGGTGTCAGGCTGTACGGCCGCACTTTAACTCGACTCTCGCTTCGCCCGCTGTGGCCACTCTAATTCTACCCTCCCCTTGTTCGAACCAGTCCGACGAGCTCTACTCAGTGCTTCCCACCTTTTGGACCTAACCATTGTGCTCCAGTTCTCAGTTTTGGCGTATTCTACGTGTGTATCCACATCAAACCGGAGCTTTCGGGAAATAGTTTGTTCTCATTCGAAAGAAGAAGCTGCGGACTCCCAAACTGTCGCCGAAGTGTCGCCTTTTTCAAGTGCGCAATAGGTCTGAGTCACACATATTGCAAAACACTTCTCAAAAACGCGACATCCATGTGCCCATTCAAAATAACGTTAACCGTTCAGAACAGTCTGAGGAAGCTGCAAAAAGAGGCAAACAGCATGTCGGCCTAATGGGGAGAAAATTCGGGAGTTTTGACCCATCCATCTCTTACCTGCATTCTCAAGTTGAATACGTCATCCAACCTTGGCGACCTTGGTTGCAGTGCAACTTGAAGGGGCTAGAGGTACCAAAACACAAAACTACACAGAACGTCAGTCGTCCACGCAATCTGCCCCACCAGCAAAGGCTGAAGTCACTGGGAGCTTTCAGCGGACGTTATGATTCTCTACCATGTAGATAGTACATGCTGGTGCCGTGAACACGTGTACTCTCTGCCTCGTATTCAAATCAGATTTACTGACACATCATGCACGTGTGTTGAAACACGTTCGATACAGCTTCATCATCTAGTGCATTCCATACTTCAGACCTAACTTGGGTGGATCATCTTTTGATACCCCATCGGTTTTGGCACCGTTTCCGCAGAAACACAATCTAGAAATCTTCGGAATCACGAAACACACAGCAGCTCTTGTGGTCTCAAACGAAAGCCAACTCCGGAATCCACCCACTGAGTCGTCGATCACAGCTGTAGACCGATAAACAAATTAGATGCCCCACACCATGTGTCCGTATCGCTCAGTCGCTTTGTTTACCGAGTGGACGATCTCGCTTCTTAAACCAACTCCGCCAGGGCTAGATCCACCAAGCGTCTCGATCATGAAAATGCAGCCAATTCAGCGTGCATTTGACCCACAGGCAGTCATAAAGCCTTGGGCATTGACTTGAAAGGCATCCATCAATGCAACGGTTTGTAACGACCAATCATGTGCTCATTATATCGTACCCAAATCGACAATATTCTGTGGCCTTCATTCCAGAAAAATGTACGGTGTTCCAACTGCTTTAGCAAGTTTCATCCTAAGTGGTCTGAGCGCACGGTAAACTAGTTGAAGATACCCAATCGTAGTCAAGCCAGTCATGTCAAGCAAGCGCTTTGCGTACCTAGAACGGGCGAGTATACTCGACCAGAATCTCTATGGTTCTATGCAGTATGTATGACTATCCAACTGGCAATGCTTGTGCAAGAACTGTCACAGAAACACGAAAGACTAGCAGCAAGGATCGAACAAATGAGGAACACCAAAATCGCTTCATTAGAACTAAGTGTGACAGAGAGCAAACCCTAGTCTGCTGTGTTAGGCTACGCTTCTAAACTGAGGAAGACGGCTGGGCAGCGCCTTAAGAATGCGTCACCTGTAGCCTTAAATCAGCGCTACTGTTGCAAATACGCTTGAAACAACCATCGCCGGTCCGATTGGAAATGTAGGCCAGCGCCTCGTCCACCCTCCAAACGGTTCCGAATATTCAAGAGGACGTCGACACTAGTAGTGGTTAAATCGTGATTGTTGCCAAAGGCAGCCGAAAAGCTAGGTCTTCAGCCATTCCTACTGGTCCCAAATGTAATGAGGAAGACGAAGCTGTAATTCCACGGCCCCCACCGGCTGTATGCAGACCAGATGGGTGGTTGGGCGCAACGCCGGTCGCACATATTATACTATCGATATTCTGCACAAACTTTCCAGAATTAACGTCAAATTCCTTAAAAGGAAAACAGCTCGCTGATGTGAATCCGTGGAGTTTCATATGTGACATTAGAGGTGTTGTAGCTATGCCCGTCAACTGGACACGCATCACTCGTTACCCAGGCTCAGAGTATTATGGTGAACCGAGGCTTCTCCGAGTTGTTTGACTTCCGCCGATGAAACAGAAGCTGTCCTGTTCTCAACAGCTCGCCTCCGGATTGTGTCATGTTCCATCCGCAACTTCCCTGACATACCGTAGAGCGAGAACAAACACACGAAGCACGAATTGGAAGAGTACCAGCTGGAATCCGTATTCAACACTATCCTTGTGCTCTGTGTTTCCGAGGCTGGTGGTCATGATGAGCTCGAAGCAACCGCCCATGACCAGGAACAGTGGCGATATATTCGAGAGACCATCTCCCTTGAAAACGTCATAGCGCAATATCTCGACGCTCGACGCTGCGCAGATCACCAAATTACAAAGAATGTGGACCGTGGATTGTGAAAGTGGTGCTTCCATCCAGACAATGTTAACAAGGGTGCTGGGGTGCGGATATGCGGGCCGCAGCAGCCTTCCTTCCGGGCTCCGGATCAAAACAGCATCCTCTAACCAAATACACGAGGGCACCCATTTAGTAGGACAACTTAACGAGAACAGCTCGCATAACTCCACCCTACAAGCCAATGCAACTGGTTAACACAACCCATACATTACTTACCAAGAGAGGAGCAAAGTAGTAATGGTGGAATCCCCGGATCTGACACAGTTAACTTCGTCTTCAACCCTTCCAAAAAACGATTATTGGCCGACCCTTCACCGATCAGCACAACAGTAGACCAAAAATAGACATCCCCGATTTATTGCTAAGAAAATAGAAATTTCTTTGCAAGTACACCAATACACAAGGTCTCCTGAACAAGTTCACCGAGCTGCGGATACTCCAACTATTCTTTGCCTGGGACCACACCTTCGTAAGTGAAACTTGGTTACACTCAGAACTTACGGACACCGCAGTCGCGCTGCATGGTATGTTCTTATTCAAAACCAGTCGCCCAAGCAAGCGTAGGGTAATGACCTTCACAGTGCGAACCGGTGGAGGCTCTGAAGTTGCCGAGCATAGACTCACTCTGGTGCAGTCTGCGGATGAGACCCAAGGACACTTGCCTTTTGGCAGTTGTTTATCGTCCCCCAACGGCCACCCCAGAGATGGACTCCCGAATGACCTTAGCCTTGCGAAGGGTCCAACATCTCTTTATCTTCTCGCAGCGGAGTCACCGTACACTCATTCGAACCGGATTTACCAGCTCTACACAGTGATCCATCTTTCGTGGAATTATCTTTTATCACTAAAGTTCTAACCATGGCTAACGGCTTTACCTATCATCCATGATTGAACACAAGCGGATAACTCATTCACCTTGTGCCCATTGCTCTCCCGTGTAACATCATTCAGTGCAGAATTCTCGAGACAGTCCGAAAAGCCCAAGCTTATGCTAATCGGGTGTTTCCCAACCCATCTGTGAAGGAATTTGTGCTCTCTTAATCTGTGTTCAGCGTTGCGTTTAGATTCATTTACTAGGTCCCAAATCAACCGGGCCTAACATCGATCTATCAACCGACCAACACTGTAACGGGTGCCTGCAAGGGATCACCGTTGACAGCGGGCGCACCACGCTGACTCACGCTTATCATTGGCGCGGGAGACCGCACTAACTGATCAGCTGACAAACGCGTGACCTTAAAGCTTCACGGCCTCGGTGAACATGTCTCACGTTAAAAGCAAGTGTGAGTTGTGGGTTCAGTTGGTGAAGAATGGGTTAGTTTGCAGCAATTGCTTGAAAATCTATCACACGAAATGCCTTGGGACGGAGTGGATAAAAATGAGAGTGTACAACACCACAACAGAGGCGTTTTGGTTTTGCCCAGTATGCAATGCTATCCCAGTTGTTAGCTGGCTAACTGTGCTACTGAAGAAGTGTGAAAGACAAACAGAAGCAGTCGAGCAACTGGTGAGCGCCAGGGTTACACCTATGAGAGGAAAGGGACCTGCACTTGTATGTAGAAATAACACCCCAAATTCCCCATTCAGGCCGAAGAAGCGAAGCCAGGCGTCCCAACATTACTCCGACGACTCAGTCTCAAACAGTATCAACTTCCTTCTCTCTCTCTCTCTCTCCCATATGTAAAAACATTGTCTGCAGCGTGCCTGCTTCAACTTCTGTACAGTGTGTTACACCTATCATTTTGTTCCCTATACAGGAGACCCTAAGCTGCAGTCAACCAGCCATAGTGAGGAACCAGGTAACATACGCATCGGTTGCCGCCAAGCAAACACCGGAAATAGCACCGGTAACCTTGGTGGCCGGGCTAGAGGAAACTAAAATGTCGCAGCATGGATGGCCCCCATAAATGCCGTACACAAATTCACCAAAAGCACAGGAAACTAAAGCTCCAAAACCCGTAGCCACCGGGCGCAAGCATAGTGAATTAAACCTTGTGTGCACTATTGTCCCCGAATCCAAATTCAATACAATTAAGGGTAGGCTGACAGACGGTCGAAATCAATGGAGTTCCATCTGCAGAGCAATCGGTGTCCATGCTGATCCCACGACATTAAAACGCATCTCGCGTCACCCAAACGCATTGCACTACGGTGAACCCCGGTTACTTCGGGTAACACTGAACTCGGTGGATGAGACAGAGGCCGTTCTGCTGTCTGCGAATCGACTCCACAACGCCACAACTGGAGTGCGCATA